TCAGAATGCCCATGTTTTCCCCCGATCAGCCATTAATCACTCACTAGGAATCCAGGTGTGTAGGGTCAGCAGCAAAGCAAGACTTAGTATTATAAAAAGAACAGGTATGCTTTGACAGGGTGAAGGAGGAAGACAAGGGAGGTATTTCCTGGGCCACCAGAAAGGTCATGCTTTCCCTTGGGAGTGCCCATGCTTAATCCTGCCTATAGCAATAAAGCCCTGAACTCAGTTGTCCAGAGCCATCTGCACCAATGGAGACACACTCATGCTCCAATCACATCACCCTCAGGGGACAGGTGTAGCCTGGTTAGGCAGCTCCAGACAGCAGCAGTGCTTGGGCCAGCCAGCTCCTCCCTGCTAGACTGAGCCAGCACATTGGGCTTCTTAAGCCATTTGTTCTTTTCCCGCAGAGCACACAGAGCATCTTTCACAGCAGGAAGGAAGGGATGGCTCCTTAGGCCTTGTCTATAGCCCCATTCCACACTTGTGCCCATGTTCCAAATTGTCAGTGAGTCTGTTCAAAACTGTACCATGAGCTGGCCCAGCCTGCCCATCCACTTCCTGTACAGCTACCCCAGGGTTCTTGTTCTGGCCAGGCCTCTCTAGCCCTTCACTCTTCTATTCCCAGTGATTTCACTCATGTACCAACACATCACTCCTACCCTGGAAATCTATACCGACTGGACACATTCCAACCCCAGCATCCCCTCCCAACACCCTCACTGCCTTGTCCTGTTACATTAGGGAAATCCAGCCCTGGCAATGGAAACCTCGCTCACTTTCTCCTCTGTAACTACTCCATCCTTACTCAGAGCTGCAGCTCAGACTGTCTACAAGCCTCTCCTGAAGACCATGGTTGGGCCTTCCACTGTCCTCTTTGTCAGCTCTGTTCCCTTCCCCATTCTCCTATGGCCCTCTCCATCCTTCAGGGCTTCTCCCACAATGCTGCTCCTCCATTCACCCTTTCTGGACCAATCCAATAGGAATCAATTGTTAGACTATTTCCCGAAACCCCAGCAGAAACAGAAACAGTGGGCTACGTGTACACCTGCCAGTGAAACAATTCTTAAAACAAGAAGATAGAAATGACTTTATCAGGTAAGAAAAGGACCGTGGGAACTGGCAAAATGGCTCTGTGGGTAAAAATGTCTACCAGCAATCCTGAGGACCTGAGTTCAACCCCCAGAAGTCACATGATAGAAGGACAGAACCAATTTCCACAAATTGTCCTCTGACCTTCACACACTCCCGGTGGCACACTTATACCCTGCCCACACATACACATATAATAAAATAAATAAGAAAAAGATCATGACTTACAGCACATATATAAGTCAGCATCATATTTTTTGTAAAATATGCCCAGCTCAAAGGATAAACCAATCATAAATATATCAGGGTGGTTGCTGCTCATGAGGTTGAGGAGGTATGACAGACATGAGACACGAGATTCCTTATAATTCAACAATGAAAAGAAACGAAAAGCCCAGCATTCAATTTAAAATAAAGGCCACATACTATAGCTTCAATCTGCATTAGAGGCTCAGTCCTCAGCCCAGAGTGCTATTTAGGGAGATGGTAGAGCCTTTAAGAGATGAGGACTAGTGGGAGGTCTTAGGTCATTGGAGGCATCTCAAAGCAGATAAGAGGACCCCAGGCACTTCCTTTCTCTCTCTTCTGCTTCTCAGCCTTACCATAGGCCAAAAACAACTGACCATGGTCTGAATCCTGAAAACTGTAAGCCAAAATAAACTTTTCCCCTCTATAAGTTGATTATCTCTGTTATTTTGTTACAGTAATAGAAAGCTAACAAATATACCAAGAATATAAACAGTACACAGAAAGAGTTTGAAACATGTGAAAAAGTCATAACACCATCCATCAGAAAATAATATCTATTAAAAATACAGTGTCATGTCATTTTCAAACTGACAAGACCAGCAAGTTGACACTACCCTGAGTTGGTGGAGCTGTGGGGAAAGCAGCACTTTCATAAGTAAAAGTCATGCTGTGTCATTGGAGAGTGAGTTGGCAATATCAATCACAGTCTAAAGTACTCTTCCTGTTAATCCACATTTATGAGTTTCTCCTGCTGAAACAATCTCAGAAGAGAGATGAGTTACAAGTAGGTCTAAAGTGTTACCGTCTGTCCTAACAAACAAAAATAGGGAGTTGACCTATAAATCCATAGTGAATGGGCTTGATAAACATGGTACATCCACCCATTCAGCAAGATATGCCACATTTGCTTTAAAATGATGAAATCTGTTTAGGGATCTTGAAGATTGGCTGTTAAGAATGATGGCTAGGGACTGGAGATAGTTCAGAAGAACACTGGTTGCTCTTGCAGAAGACCTGGGTTCAGTTCCCAGCACTCACACAGCAGCTAATAAGCCAGTCCCAGGAAATCAGATGCCCTCTTCCAGCCTCCTCCCCACATGCATTCAGGCAAAACACTAATACCCATTAAAAAAATCTTTTAAAAATTTTATTATTTTATTTTATGTGTTTGACTGTTTTGCCTGCATGTACGTAAGTGCATCTGTGTCATGTAATGCCCACAGAGGTCAGAAAAGGACATCAGAACTGCTGGAACTAGAATTACAGACACTTGTTAGCTGCCATGTGGGTGCTGGGAATCAAACCCCAGTCCTTTATAAGAGCAGCCAGTGCTCTTAACCACTGAGCCATCTCTCCAGTCCACAAAAATCTTTTTAAAAAACAAAAAACCAAAATATATATCTTCAAGAAATTGCCTTTGAGGGTATAGCCATGGTTATGGTTCAAAGACAATTTAGCCCCCAGACTCCGTATTACATTTATATTTCTATCCTTTGCTAAAAAAGCTTATACCTCCTGAGCATACAGCCCTTGTTAATCACTTAAACTCAGAGCACAAGATTGATTTACCTATTACTCCCTGAATGTCTCTCCTCTCCCTCTGAGGTTGATACAGATTACCAGCCCCCAGTTTCATCAATCATTCCTTCCTATAGATAAAAGGAGCTTAAAGCTGCATTGAGGGCTGGGGATGGAGATGTATCTCACTTTGTAGTGTTTGCCTAGCATACATGAACCCTGGGTTTGAGCCCCAGCACCACATAAGCTGGCTGTGGTCACACACACACACACACACACACACACACACACACACTTGTTTTCCTAGCAGTCAATTACTATGATCTGAAGGTGTCCCCTACTTTTTCAGGGGCTAGGAACTTAATTCCCAGTCTTATGCTAATTTGAGAGGTGGGAACTTCAGCAGGCGATTGGGTCATGAAGGCTCTGCTCTCAGGGATTCATTCATTCATACATTAATATGAATGGATATTACATGAATAATTTTATTATAAAGGCAGCTCTGTGACTAGCTCGCGCACTCTCGTCTATTATACCTCAAAAAGAAGATCCCCATTAGATACCAGCACGACAATCTTGGATTTCCCAATTTCCAGAACCACAATCTAAAACATCTTTTTTCAAATAGACTACCCAGTCTCAGGGTATTTTGTTATAGCAAAAGAAAACAGACTAAGATAGCAATTTCCCTGGGAACACTCCTCCCCACCTTGGCTAAACTGCAATGGTATCCATAGTCCAGGTGTCCTGTCTCAGACTAGGGGAGGGACAGTAGAGGGAATAGGGCTGGTTTAGGGAAGTACCGGGATAAAGTGATAGCTGAGGAGCCACACCACCCACATGGAAACAGAAATGGAACCCTGGGCATGAGGCTGAACCAAACCTGACCAGCTGACCCTGCACCCTCATCCTCTCCACTGTTTGACAGCCTGGGACTAGCGCTTACAGGAATGAGACACAGGTGCATCTACTTTATACAGGGACCGTTTGCAAGTATCAACTTCATTTTTCTCTAAAAGCTGAACAGCAGACAGAGCTCTACCTTGATAGCATCTTAGCAGCAATGAATTCTAAACTGGGTCTTTGAGATTATTACAACACAACGGTTAAAAGCAGAGGTTTGAAAACTCCACCAGCTGCTGGCAAATTCTGAGCTTCCATTTGCTGGCCATGTAAGCTTGAGCAACTTTCTTTCTCTCTCTGGGCCTCAGCTTTCTTGTGGGACAAGAGCATATACCTCAAAGCCTTGCTGAGAAAGTTGTCTGTTATTATTACCCACAGGTGCTCAGAGACAACATGTCACATAGAACATGCTTGGTGAACTCCAGGTACTCTGGACTCCAGCTAGTTTTGCTTTAAAAATCCTCCAAATGGGATCATTAAAGATGAAAATAAGATGGTTGGGATTTTCCCAGACAGCAACAGATTTCCTGCCATCCTCAGTTTTCAGGGTTATTGCATGTCTGCCTCCTACTCTAATTCTCTTTGTGTGGGCCCACAATATGTTGATGGGTACTGAATGTCATTACACCTGCCAGGAGAAGGAGCTCCCTGGGAGACCTAGCTCCTCCCCACCCCTGGTGACAGTCTGTGATGGTTAATCTTAATTAGCAACTTAACTGGATTAAAAACCACCATGGAAACATGCCTCTCTGGGTATGTCTATAAGGCTGACTCGAGAAAGGTTTAATTAGAGAAGGGAGACCCACCCAGAATATAGGCGGCACCACTGCGTGGGCTGAGGTCCCAGGCTAAGTGCATAGAAGAAAGTGCACTGAACACTGGCACTCAGCTCTCTCTGCTTCGCGACTTTGGATACAATGTGACCGGCTGCCTCAAGCTACTGCTGCCATGTCTTTCCCACCACGATGGACTGTACCCTCAAACTGTGAATCAAAATAAGGCTTTCTTTCTTTTTTTCTCTGTCAGGTATTTTGTCATAGCAAGGCCAAAAGTACAACTTCTCACCCTGACTGTGTCAACAATCAGGCCTGAACTGGACTTCTATCCAGAGCCTGTAAATCTTTCTGGTACAGCAACTACAGGAACTGTCTGCTTTCCTGGATGGCTCTGGTTCCTGATGCTGCCAAAGTCACTCCAGCCTCCCTCCTACCTCTCCCACATGTTCAGTGGATTCACACCTCGCTTTGAGCCTTTGCACTGGCTCTTCCCTTTAAAGTAGGAAGCTTCATCCCCTGGATAATCCCATGTCTTCAGCCAAGTCACACACCTCCTTTCTCTTGGCCTGTACCAACCACTCTACTGCACACCTGAGCAGCTGTAGCCTTCAAACCCCTTACACTGCTTTGTTTTTCTCCATAGTATGTAATTCTCTTGTGTTTAAATTGTTGTAGCTTGGCATGGCAGTCCACACATTAATCTCAGCATTTAGGAGGCTGAGGTAGGAGGATCATGAGCTGGATGGAGGTCAGCCTGGGTTACATACCACATATCGAGTACTGATCTCAAAAATAAATAAATAAACTTGTTAAATGAGTGAACAGCAGGGGAAGTCTCTCCTGGAAGGCAAAGATCTTAGATTTAAGTCTCCCAATAAGAAATGCTGTCAGAACTTCAGAGACAGCTTCTTCCCACCTTGTCTACTGCTCACTGACCCCTTCTAAGCAGCTTGTAACACCCCACTCACAGCTCTGCACCTCCAGACTTGAACATCACTTAAGAACTCTGCTGTATTTTCTAAGTAAGGGACAGTGTCTTTCATTTCCCTGCACGCACCTCATCACTCTGTCTTTAGGGTGTTGTTTTTGTTTTTGTTACAGCATTTATCACTCTGAAACAATTCATCGGCTTACCTTACTTTGCCTCTCCCACAACTCATATATAAAGGAGACCAATGTATTCCCAGTGCCTATAAGCCTGACTGCAATTGCTGCTCAATAAGTATCTGTTGAATAAATGAAGGAAGGAATAACTCTTCCACATTACCCTCCACAAAGAGAAAATGCCAGGTCAGGAAGAAAATGAACCACTGCACTCCACACTGTCAAAACTTGACCTTGACGTGTTTCCTCAAGCAGAGGGGCTCATAAACATCCAATTAGATGCTAATTACACCCAATCAGCTCTGGAGTTGGGGAGGGGCCAAGCTAATGAGGTTTACAGGCAATTGAGGCTGGAGATGCCCAGCACTTGACTTTGATACTGATCCTGACCTAGACAGGCATGCGGTGGACAAGGGGGTCTGATGAGTGCATGTTCTAGGGTAGCAAAACCCACCACGTGTTGCCTGGGGAAAAAAAAAAATCCTGCAGAACTCTGTGTGCCGGGCTCCCTCTTCATCCTACTGCAAGGACAAACTAGACTCAATCCTAGGACCAGAAAGGAACCCTCGAGGGATGTGACTATCGGCTGAGTGGACGCTGTTTACCCTCCCGGGAACTACTCCGATGTTTTTTGGACAGACACACCAAGCGTGTGGCAAACAGCTGCATTATTCTTAATGCCAGTGTATTCCAGTCCGTCGCTCCCACCAAGCAGGGAGGAGCGTCCAGTCTCGAGTCTCAGTTATTACGTGCCCCAGGGACCACTGGGGAGATTTGGAGCAAAGCCCTCCGTAGCTTCAAGGGATACCTGCTCTGGTGGGAACCTGGAGCCCAGATCCATCACCCTAGCTAGGGAGTCTGTGGATACCAGACTGACTCTCAGTGGGTGCAGCCAAGTCTGCCCTTCGGTTAGACTGGATTCTTGAGGTCCCCGCTGGCTCTGGACCCTCCTGCGGCCACTCCCCAGCTCTGATTCCTCGCTCGCAGGGTCCCGGCCCCCGTGGCTGTCGGCAGGTGCTCCCCTACTCAGCTGGACGTGTGCACAGCTCAGCCGCGGTGGAGACTACGTAGCCGGGCCGGGGTGGCGGCAGCTCGTGCCCTGGCAACCCCAGCGTAGCCCTCCCCTCCCGTCCTTACCCACGTCCCGCCGGGCTCCTGCTGAGGCTGCCTCGGCCGGGGCGCCCCAT